TTCGGGGCCCCCCCCCCCCCCCCCCCCCCCCTTTTCCGCAGAGCGAGGCCTGCCGCCCCCTGCTGACCCAGGCGCTGCTCCAAGGAAGCCTGGCGCCCAGCGACCTGGTGCGAGGCTCTCCGGAGCAGCTCCAGGACGCCGAGCACAGGACTGTGAGGGCCCTGGGGAGTGAGTCACAAAGCTTGGCCGGCGAGGGAGCCCCGCCCCTGCCGCCCGGGCACGGCGGGCCTGCTGGAGAGCATGCCTGCGCCACCCTCCCGAGTGTGACCGCCATGGACTGCGATGATTAGCGCAAACCGTCATGGCGGGGAGGTCATCGAGAAAGGCGAGGAGGCACGCCGTAAGCACAATCTTCCAGTTTTTTTTCCTGGGGGCATGCAAGGTTGGGCAGTGTGCCCCTCATCAACAGGTCCCCCGCACAGCCAGACTAGCCTGTTCTGTCACACAAACCTCTTTTACACGTCGAGCACGGCAATCATGGTACAGTGGGACCAAAGAGGTACATGGAGCATGCAGCAGGGTTCAATCATGGTGACACCGATGTGGTGGAGAGCGCGGCATCCCTTTTCCTCCTCAGGCCTTGCAGCACGAGCAGTCCTGTTAAGTGCGTGAACAGCATGTGAGTGATGTGCGGGATGGACGGGAGCAGGTGCTGCCCGCGCGGCGCAACGTTCGGGATCCCATTCATGACACCGCAACCCGTCAGGGCTGCCCGTACCTTGCACTCGCACTCGCCCTTGGTGCAGGTGCACTCGCCCTTACACCTACAAACCGCGGAAAGTCATGTGCAGAATATTGAGACAGGTTCAGCAGGGGCACATTCACACAACAGTTCCGATCACAGCGACCATCCAGGGCCTCAAACCCCCTTCCCCGGCCCCCGGGCCGAGCCCCGGAACTGACTTCTCGCATTTGCCGCAGCAGGTACATCCAGCCTCGCACTCGCAGTGATCGCCGCACTTGCAGCCGTTCGCGCACTTTGGGCAGTCGACCATGGTGTCGGGAGCCTGTGTTCGGGGTGGCGTGTGGCGTGGATGTTTCGGCACGGACAGATGTTTGGGACTCGACGAACGAGGGAGCTGCGCTCTACATTTCTTAACTCACCTGTTGATTGCTTTGGAGAAGATGGTCAAGATTCTTATCGCGGGGAGTAGGTTGTGACTTCCTCCTGAGCCTCCATCGCTCTTATAACCCGACCCGTTGCCGTCCCTCGACCCCGGAACGATGTGGCCATGGCCCGCCCGGGCCATCGCAACCCGGTGCCCCTCGCATCGAGATCCAGAACAACACATTACAGGCATCAAAAGTGCTCAGACTGTCAATATTATTGGAGGAGAGAGGCGATGGAGTCATGATGGGCAAGCACCCCTGCGACAGGGCAGAAGGAGGGTCAGGCAAGCTCGAATGATGAGGGGGCGACGTCGCCCCAGGGTATGGGGGACCAAGTGATGGAGGGTGCGCACAGCGGAGCGGAGGCTGGACGAATGAAATCGACATGCAGTTCTGTGCAGCTGGGAGCGAAGGGATGAGTGAAGCCATGAGGCAAGGGATGGAAGGGGGGGGGGGTCCTGAGGCCTCGGCCCGAACCCCGTCAGTGCAGGGTCACCAGGGCCTGTGGCAGCCAGATGGGCGGCTTCATGCCCTCCACGGGAAACAGCTGGAGGTAGATCTCCACCATGCCTGCGGCCATGAAGAGATGCCAGAGGGAGTGGAAGAGCCAGTAGAGCTGCGGGAAGAGCTCCGGCAGCGGGAAGCAGGTCAGGCCCAGCACGACGCAGACCACGGCGGCCTTGCCCCGCGCGGCGCCGAAGCGTGGCAGGCTGGCGCTGCCCTCGAGCGCCAGCTTCAGCCCCAGCGCACACAGCATGACCAGGGCAAGGAGCTGGGAGGCGGTACCCAGCGTGATGCCGCCCCGCCAGCGGCCCACCCCTAGCACCAGCGCGGGGAAGCCGGCGTTTAGGAGGAGCGCCAGCGGCCTGCTGCGCACGCCCAGCACGTGGCCCAGCGCGCGCGCCAGCAGAGCCTGCGCCCACAGGATGTCCAGCGTGCGCCAGGTGGTGCCCGGCACACCCAGCAAAGTGGCGGCGCCGATGCCGCCGGGCATCATGTGCGCCACGTGGTAGGTGGTGGCCAGCGCAAAGCCCAGGCCGAAGGCCGCCACGTCGCCCCAGCGCCGGGCGTGGGCGTGGACGCGAAGGATGGACAGTGCAGGCAGCGTGGTGAGCAGGGGGAGCACGTCCAGGAGCAGGATGCCCGTGGTCGCGGCGGAGACGCCCCGGTTTATGGGGACATCGGGGACCACGGTGGACATCAGGTTCAACAGCAGCATCTGCGGGGTGGTGGGGAGGGGGTGTCAACTCCGACGCTGCGGGGTAGCTGGCCCGGGGTTCGCAGGTCCGCACCGCATGGCAGGAATTTCGGGCCCATGGCAACGCGTCCTACCTCGATCTTAGCCAATGGAAGGGTGCAAAGCACTTTGGAGGGGCCAAGTGTGGATCTTTCACTCGCAATTCTCACGAACTTTACGAACGCGGGGACCCCGCCCTGCAGCTCACGGGTCTCTGTGAGAACTTTCGCCGAGGAGATACAGCCGCGACTTCTCAGCCCTACCGATAATTTTGCATTGTTTTAGACTGGCGGTCTCCTTCATGTGGCTCCAGACCTCCAACATGTAATGTCTCCCTCGGCTCACGCGTTGGAAAGGGGTCGCGGAGCAGGCGCAGCAAGATTCACCATTCAAAGAATCCGGGGGATCTTGTGGTTGAAACGCCTCGAACCCCCTGTAAGCAGCAGATACCTCATTCTTCACCATCCCAGCAAACTCCGGGATCTGGAGCGCGTAGTTCTCACTCTATTGAGCTTCGAGCCTGGCCTTCAAGCGATGGCAAGGCTGGCAGCCTCGGGCCACGGCGCGGTTACAGTGACAGCTGATGTGTTCCTCGCACACATTCTACGAGGTGCCAGACTGGGAGCAGGGCACCTTCGTCCTCCTGACCAAGAGCTCCGGACACCTCACAGCATCCATATCTTGCTCCCAGAGGTGCGTGGCGGCTTGAGCATCCCCTTGCTGGCCGAGCCGTGCAGCCCAGACTTCACGGTGGTCACGCTGGGCACGCGCCCCTTGGGCGCCGCCTGCGCCATGCGAGTTGGGGACTGATACCCTGCTCTGACGACCTTCCTGCTGTCGCCCGGCTCCCAGTTGCCTGGCCCCTTCACACCTTTTAAAAGCCCCTGCGAGGCGGCCTCCAGCCGGCCCCACCCCGCCCCCCCCTCCCTCAACCTTCCTCCACATCAGTAGCCGCTCACCTTGTCCGGCTTCTTGCCCCCCTTGGGCGCCGGCACAGGCCTCTGGTGCCTGGCGAGGAAGGCCTTCTCGGCGCGGTGCAGCGAGGCGGCGGTGTGCGAGCGGTGGCCCAGGCAGCGGTCGGCCACCGCGCGCGCGCGTGCCAGCGCCACCCGCGCCTCCGCCTGCGACCCCAGCCGCTCGTGCGCCAGCGCCGCGTTGTGGTAGGCCATGGCCAGCACCGAGGCCGCGGTGCGCTGCGTGTGGCGCCGGTCGGCGGCCAGCCGCGCCGCCAGCCCCGCCAGGCCCTCCGCAAAGCTGGACGCGGCGGGGACGAAGAGCTCGCGCTGGAGCAGCAGCGCGGCACGCTCCGCGTGGCCCAGCGCCTCGCGGTCGCGGCGCAGCCCAGCGTAGGCCGCGCAGACGTTGAGGTGGGTGGAGGCCGCGCTGCGGGCGTCGCCGCCCAGCCGTCCCTGCTCCAGCGCGCGAGCCAGGTACTGCAGCGCCTCGGCGGGCGCGTTGCGCCGCCGGAACAGGCAGCCCAGGTTGTTGAAGGTGATGCAGCGCAGGCGGGGGCGAGCGCGTGCCTCCTCGGGGCCCCACCGCCCGTCGTCCTCGCCCAAGGCCTCGGCCTGCGCGAGGGGGGTGGGAGGAGGGCATGTCTTCATGCTGACTGCTGGCGCGGGGAAGGAGGGGCTGTCGTGCCTGGCTTGCCTGAGCAAATGTGTGCGCCCCCGGAAGAACCACCCATACACACCCACAGGATCCGCCCACCCCTTCCTCCCCGCCTCGCCTTGCGCAGCAGGGTCAGCGCGTTGTCGTAGTTCTTGGCGTCCATCAGCTTCACCGCCAGCGTGTTGTACAGGCTCACCATCTTGGTCACGGGCTCTGTGGCGGGTGGCGGCAGGAGTGGAGGTTCCATGGGTCGGGGAAAGGCCCGGGCGGGCTCCGCCGCCATCCACATAGCTTCTTCACTGCGCGGCGCCCGCGCATGCCCTTTGCCCCCACCCAATGCATGCTGCACAATCGACACACAGCAGGCTCTGCACCAGGCATGTCGCACGAACCAGCCCTTCATGACTCACCCACGTCCCCCTCGGACGCGGCACTCATGGCCTCTGATGCGGCGCGCTGCGGGCCCTCCACCTCCATGGCCGACAGCGCACGCGTCAGCTCATTCAGCTCCTCAGCCAGCTCCTCCTCTGTCATGGCATCTGCATTGTTGTGCGGGGAGAAGAAAGCATGGGATAAGGAAGTTTTCCATCTTCGATCTCACGAAGGGGGTGTGGGAAGGCGACGTGGTGTTAGGGAGCGTCACAGCGTATCCATGAACCATGGCACCTTTCCCCACCAAAACATCACCGCGCCGCCACCTACCGGAGACCACAGACATGGTGTCGTCACAGTCGGGGTCGGCGCTGGAGCAGAGGTAGACAAGGCCCGGGTACTCCTCCGCCGGCGCATGGCCGTCGTGCTCGCCAGCTTGGCCGTCCACCTCAGCATCAGGGGCAGCCCCGTGGTCGGCCCCATCCTCGTTCGGGCGGGGGGAGTCGTGCCCTTCCCCATCCTCCAGGGTGTGGGAGTGGGAGTAGTCCAGCTTCTCATCCGGGTCCAGGCCGAGGTGGTGCAGGGCGGGGTTGCTGCCGTGGGACCCCAGCAGGGCTGCCTCGGCACCCTCCGTTCCTGGATCTGGAAGCTTATTGGCCTCCTGGTCGGAAAGGGGTGCCTCAGGGGGCGGCAGATCACGAGGAGCCACTTGCTGGACGGGCTCAGGGCTCGGTGTGGACTCGGGCACCGGTGGGTGGGGAGGGGGAGCGGCAGTGCTGGCCGGCGGACCCGCCGATCCTGTGGACGGCGCCTTGGACTTTGTTCCTGCCGGAGCCAAGGCCTTCTTGATGGCCTTCAACATGGTGCCCATGGTGTGGAACGCTGCGGGTATCTACATGACGTGGCTGACGAGACTGAAGGACGAGACCCGAGGGGGCAAGACCTAAGGGAGGAACCTGCTTCTCGAGCTCAAACACCCCTTCCAGACTCCTGACGATGGGGACCCTCTACAGGTTTCAGCTTCGAAGCCAGGAGTCGCTCCCGTCGCGCCCTCGGCCCCCGGCCCGCGCAAGATGCTGAGATGATTCGCTGACCCAACCTCTGCATCAATGCCTGCAGATTCCTCCAGCTCTCGTTTGCAGCAATCTGAATGTTCGCATGTACAACCACGGAGCCCTGAGTGCATTGTTTGTATGTAAAGTTGGGAGCCTGACAAGGTATGGACGACAAGGTGACAGCACCGGGGAGAGAGCATGGGCGAGGGGGCTGCACTGGCAGGCTTCGGGCGGCAATGGCAAGGCAGTATGTGGACGGGGGTGCCACACAATAAGTATCGCAGGACAGTCAGGCCTGATGCAGGGGCCTCTGCTCCGGTTCAAGACAGTAATCCATAAATACAACAGAAGCTATAGGCCCTGTGCATCACAGCACAGATTTGCCGCACTGGGGCAGCCTGCAAATGTACACTATGGGTATGGCGCTGGCCAGGGAGAGCAGCATCGCCAGGACAAAGGCCGCCCACCTGCGAGCGTGTGAGATGTTTGGTCACGTTGTAGTGTGCTGTGGACTGCTGAGGCAGTTTGTCTGTCTGGGCATGCGTCCAAATGCCTCGCCCCCTGCACCTGCCCCTCTCCCCCACCCGCTGCACACCAGAGATCCATGCACTCCTCGTCGGGCAGCGCCATGTGGCGGCACACCGCCTCGGCCGCCGCGGTGAGGCCCAGGTTGAAGACCCAGGGCGCAGCCATGCCGAGGAAGAGCGGGCAGGCTATGCAGAACCAGAGCGGGGGGCCCATGGAGGAGAGGACGGCCGTGAGCGCCGCGGCGGCCCCCCCCGCCAGCAGCGACCCCAGCGCGGCGGCAGGGGAGGGCGGCGCCTCGGCAGGCTTGGCGCTGGGAATCAGCGTCTTCAGCGAGTCCGGCTGTGGGGTCGAGGGCGTGAGGTCGGGCAGGTGAGCGCGCGAGCTCCGGCGCCACAGCTTGCCGGACGCACCTGACGCAGGGGCCAAAGAGCGTCAGCGCCGTCCCCCGCCGCCAGTCCTCCCTCACCCCCGCACCTCCTTGGCCACGCCTTCCACCAGGCCCGCCAGCCTAGCACCCACGGCGGCGACCAGCTGAGCGACGCCGTGGCCCTGCGCCCAGGACCTCGCCACCCCGGCGCCCACCCAGACGCGGCCAGTGGTGGCCTCCCACAGGGCGCAGGGCGCGCGGCCGGTGCCGCACCCCCCGAACTCGGCCGTGCTGAGGTGGAAGGTGTGCAGTCTGCGGCCCAGGGCACTTTCGAGCAGACCCAGGGCCATGTTGATCCCAGAGGCTAGGTGAGGGGGGACAGGTGCGGTCGCGTCGACGGAGAGGATGGGCTGGCCGGGGTCACGCCTGGTGACATGGGGCGAGGGTGCCCTGAGCCCCTTATGTCGGCATGTGCAGATGCATTGACACTCCAGAGCCGGAGCTTGCGAGTGCTCCGAGGCGCACAGGCCGCATTAATGCAGGGTGAACACACCACACCCAACATCACACAAGCACTTCGAGTCAACCCCCCCCCCTCCCAGAATGATACACAGAACCCCCTCCATTAAATCTCTCACCTTGCCAGCGTCCCATTCCCAGGCACCACCAGGAGAAAGGCGGGAAGGTACCTGGAGCTTCCTTGGAGCACGTCCTCCACTGTAAGTGCGGGCTCTGTGGTAGGATTCAGGAACAGGGGTCCTGTCCATTGCACGCCGGGTCACCTCGGCACACCTTGCACCAATTTCCGGCATGGCACCAATCCCAGCAGCTATACATCAGGGACCATGCTCCAAAACATCCGCATTTTGCCAATGGGTCTCACCGAATCGCGCAAACTGCATGCCGGGAACCCATCCCAACATGACCATCACGTCATCGGCGACATGAGAGATCTCGTCGTTGCGGGGGCTCCCAGCGCCCTGCTGCAGGTTTAGAGCAGCAGATTCCGAGGCGTAATGTGCGTGATGGGTCCTGGACTGAAGCCAGGCCCTCACCACGCCGCACTCGCTCGCGGGGAAGAGGGCAGGCTGCCATCGGGATTGCGTGACGAGGGTGTACATGCACACGACCACCGCACTGGTCAAAACAATGCAGGTGCCCCACCCCGATAAGACCATTTTCTGGGGACTAGAAACTGCAAACAAGCATCATGTACCCGAAACACAATGCGACTCCCCCCTTCACAAGGATTTTGGACGAGAATGGTTGACGTCATGCGTGCTTGCCGACGAAGGTACTACAAAACAATCTCACTCGAACTCATGCTGCCATAGCCGATTTCTCTGCCCAGAGGGGGCACCATTGCAAACATACTTTGAACATTGAAAGGAGGGTATCCTTGCGATCTGCTGCCTCGCCGCTTCCATCATGGCACTTAGACAACTTGCCCATGTAGGCCGTCAACTTCTGGGCTCGCAGTCCAGGTACACAGCAGTGCGGTGTTTATTTTTATAAGATTGCCCCCTAAAAATTTTGGGCTCACCCCGATTCCCTCGTTGGCAGGGGATTTGCGGACCTGCTGTCCAGGCCCGAAGCTTCCAGTGCGTGGACTCGGGGTGGGCTCTACGGCCTGAGTCAGACCGCGAGCTCTATCGCCACCACGAGTGGCAAGCATGGCGATGATGCAGCTGCACAAACGCGGGTACCATCCGGGTCAGGGGATGGTGGTGAGGCGGGGGAGCCCTCCACATCTCCCCGGAAGGATCTGGTCATGCTCTTCACATGTGGGAAGTGCGACACCCGAGCTGCCAAGGCTTTCAGTAGACAGAGCTATGAGACCGGGGTGGTCATCGTTGAGTGCCCGGGCTGCAGCTCTCGCCATCTGATCGCAGACCACCTTGGCTGGTTTGGGCAAGGAGGTGGGTGTGCCAGGGTGCCAGGGTGAGGAGCACCTGCCTGGCTCCTGTCTCTTGCTTGTAGCATCAGCGTCTATCAGCTCCAGCCTTGCTTGCTCAGCTGCGAGCGCATGCCCCTCTTCTGCTGTCTCACCTCTCAACATCGCTGATGACCCATGCGGCAGGCACAATCGAAGACTTTGCTCGAGAGAAAGGGGAAGTCGTCATGCGGAAGCTTGCCGATGGCACCATGGAGCTCACACCCCAGGAAGTCATGGGACAGACCTTGGCAGACAGGTTAGGCGCATAATCCCCTGGCCGCGCGTACTGGTCTTTCCCTTAGTCTCCAGTGGAGCGCTTGCAGCACACAGTGTAACATTCCTTATCCTAGGCATCTTTTCCGGCCTTTATTGCCGTTATTGGGGGGCGGCTTATGTGGACGGTGAAACTGTTCGTCACAAGGGGGTGTGTTTATGGTCTTGGTGGGCGCCACAGACGCGGCACCTTTGGCGCCCACAAGGTTGCCGAGATCCGGCATCGGCCCATTATGGGGTATCCAGGTTATATCCATGTATTCCAAGGTCTTCGGTTTTAAACTTGATTCCCCAGAATACCCTGAGCAGCAACGAGGCTCCCATCGCTGACAAGCCCCAACGTCCATAGATCACTTCGTGGCGATGGCAAAGAAGCACTTTGTTCCCCTCGAGAGCAACCCGGAGGTGCTCACATCCTTTGCAGCAAATCTAGGAGCAGACGTGTCCAACTTCCAGTTCACCGATGTCTGGGGCCTGGACCCGGTGGGAGATGGCGGGGGGATGGGGCCTGGGGCACACATCTCCCGTTGGATGTCCGTGAGCGCCCTGGGATCGGCAGATGGCACCCACTCAATGCAGCTTACCATCACCCCGCCCAGGATCTGCTCGCCATGGTCCCGCGCCCCGTCCTTGCCGTCATCCTCCTGTTTCCCATGGAGGCAGCGCCCTCCTCTCGCGGAGCAGCCCCTGAGGCAGGCAAGAGGCGTGGTTTGGGATGTGGAAGCCTGCCGCCTGTGCACATCCAGGTGTGCACAAGTCGGCCTGAAGCAGTGCCCGCTGCCCGTTGTGATCCTGACTGCGCACAGGATGCCACATTTCCCGCTGCGCCAGATGATTTCGCGCTGCAATCGTTGTGGTACACGAAGCAGACGATAGGGAACGCATGCGGCACAATCGCCGTGCTGCACGCCCTCCTGAACAACACCGAGGATGTGGCTCTCGGTGAGTCTGCAATTCCAGGTCGCTTTTATTCGTGGTTGAGTGTGATCAAGCCTGAATGGAACAGGGGAGTTGCTGAGCCAAAGCCGGCCTTGCAATGGTGATCACCAACCAGCCCGCGCCTGGAAAGACGACGATGCTGCCGATACTTGGAAAGAGTGAAATCAGTCCCTCTTCAAGGATGCTTGTTGGTGGTCTGCCACTTGTCCTGTCGCCCTGATGCATGAAAGAAGCTGCTCGAGCAATCCACACATCACCCTCCACCCAAATCTCTGCAGCGCCAGGCTCCTTCCTGGCGCGATTTAGGGAGGCCACAGCGGCAAAGACACCGGCGGAGCGGGCAGCCTACCTCGAGGACCCCCCGGATGCCAGCGTCGACATCACCTCCAGCCATGCGGTGTGGGGGCAGGAGGAGGGATGTGTACCCTCCCTTCTGCAAGACTGTCAAGGCGGTGGAGGAGACTGACCAGGCATTGCTGCGGCACAGGGGAACCTCGCTTGGGGCACAGGAGGGGATGGCCTGCAGCCGTGCAGGTGACTCATCAGCACCCTCTCCCCCGCGCGCTTTCCCCGCGCAGGCCGCCGCCCAGGCCGGCAGCACCGCCGCCCCGGAAGCGACGGCCGACATCGACTTGCACTTCGTGACGTTCGTGGAGCATGGGGGCCGCCTCTACGAGCTGGATGGGTGGGGTTGGGGTTTGTTGTGGGGAGTGGCGGGCCGGTCTGGCAGCGCTCGATCTGGGCCCGCAGCCGGCATGGCCTGTCGTTGTCCATGACAGGCCTGGGTGCGGAGCAGGCACGGCATGAGCTCGCTGCAACCCCCCCATGCTATCCCATCTTTCAACCCGCCCACGCAGGCGCCGGGAGGGGCCGGTGGACCACGGCGCCTCCAGCCGGGACGGGCTGCTCGCCGACACAGCGGCCGTGGTGCGCCGGGTGTACCTTTCCTCCAGCGACTCCCTGAGCTTCAACCTGATCGCGCTGGCCGCTGCGGCATGACCAGCTGGCGAGTGCCTTACAGGGGATGTGAGGAGCAAAACTAAATGGGGGGGTTGAAGATGGGGGCAAGAAGGGGGCGCTACAGTGCCTCTGGCCTCCGGAATCGGGCCAGGGAGGTGAGAAGAGGATGAGTGGGAGCTGGGGGGGCTCAGGGATGAGGACGGGGCCCTCATCCCTCTGCCTCAGGATTTTATGGGGCGCCCGGGCCGGTGGTTCAGCCCGGCGGCGCCCGGGAAGTGCTGGGTGCAAGGGTCACGCGCGGTGGGAATGGTACAGGTCAGAATGGGCGCTCTACACGATCTACGCCTGGGCAGGGCACATTGCCGAGCCTGGCAAGGGGATTCTGGGATGCTAGCCGGCACCGACTGGCCCTGAGGGGCAGGGGTCATCGGACAGTGGGCATGCTTATTTGGGCTGAGGCGAGCCGCGCCGGGTCAGCTGCTGCAAGGCGTCGAGAGGGGTCGGGTGCATGTGATGAGCAGGGATTGCAGTGGGCCTGCACAGCGCTCGATCCTCTCACTCTGCTGCGTGGTTGGACCCCACACGCTCCCGGCTCCGCCCTCTCCCCCCATCCCTCCACACACCTCCTTCCCCCATTCCTTCCTCCCCTGCACAACGACAACCTGCCCCCCCCCACACAAGACACGCCACACATGAACCCACTCACAGTGCAAAGTGAGTAGCCGGTCAGCTGTCTCTGATCCACGTGCGGACAGCGGGAGATGACCACCTGGCGAACCCCCGGCGCATGCAGGAGGGCCTGCACCCCGGCGGTGCCCAGACGGGGGCAGTCGTGCAACACGACGCGCATCAGCGCCGGCGCGCGCGCCAGCGCGGCGCAGCCGGCGTCACACGTGGCGTTGGGCGCCAGCACCACCGCCAGCGTCGGGTGGGCTGCCAGCAGGGCCAGCCCGGCGTCGCCCACGCCGGGGCAGCGGTGCAGGCTCAGGGACTGGAGGCAGGGCAGGCGCAGGAGGTGGGCCAGGTGGGCGTCGCGCAGTGCGGCGCATCGCCCTAGGTTGAGCCGGCGCAGTCGGGGCAGGCTCGCCAGGTGGCGCAGGCCTGGGAGGGGGATGGCAGGGGGGTGGGGGTCGTGACGAGGATGCGGGGGTGAGGGGGGATGGAGAGATTAGAGCGGGGGTGAAGGCTGTGCGCATAGGGGCGAGCCAGGCCTTGCGCCAGCCCTGGCGACACCCGTTGCAAGTCTGTCTGTTGGGTGGGCTGTGTGCTAGGCACGACTTTGCCGGGGCGCCCACAGATTGCCATTCAGAAAGCATGACTGCGCGACGCCCCCCCCCCCCTTCCCCTTCACCTTCCCCCTTTCTACCCGCCCACCTTCCCCCGTCAGGCCTGCGCAGTTGTACAGGGAAAGCGCGCTGAGGTGTGCGAGGCCGGCCACGGTTTGCAGGTCCTCATCGCGCAGCGTGCTCAGCAGGCGCAGCTGGTCCGGGCGGCACGCCGACACTGCCGCGCCGCAGTGGGACAGCGTCAGCCAGCGCAGGCTGGGGAACCGGGCGGCCAGCGGGACGGCGGGCAGGGCCTCGGGCCTGATGCCCAGCAGGCGGCGGCCCAGGGCGCGCTCCCAGGACCGGCAGACGAGGCGCAGGATGCGCAGGGAGGAGGGGGGGAGGAAGCGCGCGACCTGTGTGTTGTTCATTTGAGGGGGGGAAGGGTGGGGCAGGAGAGGAGGGTGAAGGAGGGGGTGGACCAACGGGGAGGATGGGGGCAGAGGGAAAGGAGGCACAGCAGGATGCCAGTCCCTGAGCCAGCCCCTCTCAAAGACATTCCCACTCACGATATTCAGGACGTCGTCCATGACGCTGTGCCAGGCCGCTGGCGTCTGGCACGGGGCCACGCGACACACTGCCCGGCTGGGGTTGGCTTCGGCCAGGCATCGCGACCCCACCTCCTCACCAAACCAGGCCGCGCTGAGGCTGGACTCCTGGCAAGCCCCGGCGAGGCTGCTCGTGCTTCGACGGGGTGGCAGCACTGGGAGGCTCGAAGCCTCTGCATCCGCATGCTTCGCAGCGCCAAACTTTCGCTTTTTGGTCTGGTGCTTTGTTTCTGCATAGGGCGCAGGGTGAGGCGGAGGATGGGGTCGATCATGGAGGCTGGGGGCCTCCGGAGAGGAACCCTGGTCGGTCTGGAGGGAAGCGACATCCAGGCAATCACTCTCCATAGGAGTACCTGGATTCATATCATTTGTTTGGTAAGGAGCAGCAGCCATGCCACTGACGGGCTGTCACTTGAGAGTGCCCGCCTGGACAGGGGTGTCGAGTCGCGAGGGTGGTCGCTCGTACGATCTGTAGAAAGGGCTCACGATGCATCAGCCCTGACGGCTACCCTGAGATGGTATCCGTATCACCAACAAAATACACGTCTATTGAATATGACTGTCAGAGGAGGCTGACCATCATTCCTTCCCGAGTTGTTGGTGCACGACCGGGGCTGACAATGACTAATGCGAAGGGGCACAGCTGTTGAGATTTGTTTGGAGGAATCTCCTGGAGCTGTCTCCCAACAGCAACAACTTCCTCCACCCGACCGTCGACGCGCTTGGGTTTGCGATGAAGTGTGACACTCAGGAGCACTGTTCTATTGATTCTAGGATTGGGTTTGGTTCAGGTGTGGGAGCTTCAGCACTTGCCCGATGCACTCTAGCCCACCGATGTGCGCAAACAGCGCATTTTCATAGCCATCAGTGCCCTGGGTGGGGCAGGGGCTTGCGAGCCAGGACATGGGAGTCTTCACTCCATGCATGCCCAAGGTGGCTGTGGAGTGCGAGGGTGCATAGCGCGGCTCGACAGACCCCCGCCACGCCAGCAATGCCCACGTTCTGGACTCGAATCTGGCACAGTGTTATGGTTGTCGGGAGGTGGGGCAGAGGCCGCGTGCAGGAGGGGGACGCACAAGCAAAAACCTGCAGTGCGAGGGCCCATGCTGCTCAGGGACCCCAGTGCATGTCTTGGTGTCGTGCACGCCTTCGCACAGATTCAAAAAGGAAGGCAGCAGCCCTGGCGCGTGAGACCCGTCCAGGCCTCGTCGGCTCATTCAGGACCCTGAACTCCAGGTCCCCCAAACCCTTCGAACACCGACTTCACAGGGCTCACCACGTGGCCCCAAGCCAGACGCAGGCACTGGGCGGGGCAGGTCCCCGCGGTGTGGGGCGCTCTCCTCGAAACCTCGGCCGCGACGTCCGCCGGGCCGTCGGTCAAGGCAAAGCCTGCGGCGCTGAGGCCCTGCAGCACAGCGCTTCCAAACACCAGGACCTGCCTGGCATTGAGCAGGTGCACCAGCCGCTGTCTCAGGCTCAAGGCTGGCCCCGCCGCTCCATCGGCGGCCCCAGGGACCTCCGCCCGGTCCAGGAGGGCCGGGGTCAGGCTGACGTACCATGCCCTGCCCTCCTCCCACGCCAGGGCCAGGCCCAGCGCCCTGCCCTCCAGGCAGTTCAGGGCGACGGCGCACCGCGCGGCGGCCTGTAGGGAGGAAAGCAGGGCGCCCACCTCCTGCGTGCCTGCGCCGCCACGCAGCACGACGCAGGCTGCCCTGCCTTGCCCCGCCCAGTCCCAGGGGCTGTCGGCCGCCGGCCCGGCCAGAGCTGGGGCACCGGCTTTTGCGACGAGGCCAACCTCCCCGTCTCCGCTGCTGGTGGGAGCGCCGAGGGCGCCGACCCAATCAATCGGGTGTCGGCGGCCGAGCGACGCGCCGTGGTCCCCAAGGCCATCAGCCCCCGGTGCACACCCTCCAGCTCCCAGCCGCCCAGCAGAAGCCTGCTGTGTGTGGACGGCGAGCCTGGCAGCCGCCACCAGCTTCTCGGCGGCCGCCCGGGCCCGCGCTGCGGCCACCGCCGCCGCACCATCCTCGCGGCAGAGCGCCGCCTTGGTGGGCGGCGCGCCGCCGGCGGGGCGCCGCGCCCGGAACTGGCGCTCCAGGGCCCGGGCCAGCACCCGCGCCACCTGCTGGATGGACCTGCTGGCCAGGGCCGCAGGGTCCTGTGCAGGGAGGTGAGGCGGCGAGTCGGTGCGGTGTTTGATTGAGGTGTGTTGGAGGAGTGTCGCCAGTCCCCGCTCAGGACCTGATGCAGGTCGGCCAGCTGCCGGGTTTTCGGCATTGCACCCGAGCCGGTGGACTCCAGCACCCCTGGGTGCCACCTCAGGCCTGGGCCTTGGCCACAGCTTGGACTCCTGGGGCCGTCTTGATCCAGCATTCCTCACCCCTCTTCTCCCATCCCCCTCCCACCAGACCCCAGCTCACACACACGCCGGCCTCATGCAGGGCCCGCGCCCTGGCCGGGGTCATCCCCCGCACGCCCATGAGCTGCACCAGGTCCGCCGGCACCCCCGCCGTGGCGCGGCCCGCCAGCTCGGCGCACAGCGTGCCCAGCAGCCACCAGCCTGCTGACTCGCACACCAGCGCCGCCATGCCCAGCCACCTCCCGCAGTCGGCCAGCAGGCGCTGCAGCTGGCCGGCGCTGAGCCCGGCGGGGCTGAAGCAGCGCTCCCCGCCCCAGGCGAGCACCGTCTCGCCAAGGCTGGTCGCGCCCTCCACCATGCCGGCCAGCGCCAGCGAGGCAGCCCAGCGCGCGTGCCGCGCGCTGGGCGCCGCGCCGGGAGGGTGGCCCGCGCAGGCGGCCTCGCAACATTGCAGGTCCACCCCCACCAGCGCGCCCGCATGCCTGGCAGGATGAAGCGGTGGCGGTGGGCGGGGGGGGGCGGGGGGGTTTAAAAGGGTTGGTGCAAGGACGAAGGGCTTGAGGAGCAATGCAGGCATTGTCAGGGAGAAGATGCATCGTGCATGCACGGCTAAACCGCCAGCCGTGCATGTAGCAACCCTCGTGACACCCCTGACCCGGGGGACTCCTCTCGCCTACCTGGCTCGGCTCGGCAGGGAGCGCAGGCGTGCCGCCCAGGCCTGCCAGGAGGTGATGACAAAGGGGTGGTCCAGGAGGCAGTAGAATATGATCTGGGCGGGGCAGTCCAGGGCCACGCCTGCAAACGGCGATGGGGGGAGGTAGGAGAGGGCACCGGGTTGGTTAGCGATCAGGCGGCAGGCTGGTGTGAATATTGACAACGCGGAAGAGCCAACACATGCAGCGAGCATATGTGGCCCGCCCAGCGCACTTCAGTGCAGGAGTCGAGGCATGGCTCCATGCGAGCGTCGCCCGCACAGGTTTCAACAGCCTGATGTGCAGGGCACGAAATGTGCAAGCCCACCTGCATCGGCGCCCTTCAGCATGCCGTACAGGGCCATGCCCATGTCCAGGGGCAGGCCGGAGTCAAACACTGCACGCCCCTTGTGCGTCGTGCACAGCTCCACACCAGCACTGCCGTCACCAGGTGCCCGGGACTCTAGCAGCCCCTTCTCCTTGCTGGGTGGGGGGTGCAAGCCAGGGTTGGGGGCTGATCAGCCACTGAGCCAGCCCCAGAAATGACCGTGGCAAGTACCTGGTGGTTTGCATGCTGAAACAGGGCAAAGAACAACCAGAGGAGGATGCAGGGCCCCTCCAGTCCCTGCACCACGCAACGTGTTAAGAAGAGGACAGGATGCCCACCTACATCTTCCCCTCCCATGCAATCCCAGCAGCCGACAAACCGCGCACCCCCACCAAAGAGAGTGAAGGGCGGCTCGAGCTGCGTGCACCAGTTGGCTCCAGGGCCTCTGCCTGGATGCCAGGGTGCTGCTCAGCAGCTTCATCACGCCCGGCTCATCCCGTGCCAGGCCAGTGGCACAGCCTTCCAGCAGTAGGAGCTCCATGTACGACCCAGCTCCTGGCCCCGGAAGTGCTGTCAATGTGATTGGGAGGGGAGGGGAGGGGGGGGGGGGGGGAGGGGAGAGGGAGTAGGACGAAGAGGCCAGCGGCAGTTGCCCCGTCAGCGTGGGGTGCCGCATGCCGACGCATGCGCACAGGGCACCAGGGGGGGGGAATGCAACCATGAGCATCGTATAACTT